TTTGCCTTCTGCATTCTTATGCCGTTGACCATTATTTGTTGATTCATCCGTCTTTGGAGCCCATTTCTCAACGCCAGGACAAAAGAATGTCCTACCACTCAACAACTCATCCGCCTTAAGCCATTGGTCAGTAAGTGGGGGATTGCTTATACCGGCAATCACTCGTACGTCAGAACCTTATTTGTTATCTAGCAGGATGCACGAGATGACCATATTCAAGATCATCACGCGGGCAGGCGAGGTTGACATTTGGATAGGAGAGGCTATACGTTGCGCATCAATATCCCTTTCATCCCAAAGCAGAAGTATCAAACAGTAAAATAAAAATGCAATTGTACCGATAAACTATATAAATCACGATCATGAGACGAGTGTTGCTGAAAAAACGATAATTTTTGTAAAGTTTACAGAATTTTGGCCACTAATGAAGGTTCTTGTTATAGACTCAAATGTCGTTTGCCTGAATTACTGCGGACAGAAAATGACAAGCCCCTTCACTTAACTTTTCGATTGTACGCCATTGAATATTGTTTCCTAATCGATACTACCTTATTTTTTATAAGATTGTTTACTGTTTTTTAAAGTTCAATAACAAACTGCAATAAACAAATAATTAAAAGGTTAAGGTTTCGATAACTACCTTACTATTAATAAAAAGTTGATACAGTTTGAGAACCACAACTCTTTTGGCGTATATACAATAAACTTTCTACCTTAATTAGTATCTACACCATATCTACCTATATTGATGTACCGTTATTTATAAAGTTAAACATCAGAAAGCAATTAGTGCTTTGAAAACCACAAATGCTTTTATTTCATCAAACACTAAATTTGTTTACTAATTATAGTTGTAGAAATATGGAAATGTTCCGGAATTTTGACTAGACACAATTAGAATAATGTTTATTTTAATTGAATCTAGCACAAAACTAGTTTTTTGATTCTTAACAGTAAAGATATAGATTATTTCTTCATTCAAGATCAAGACCTTTTAGATTACGGGTAGAGAATGTAATACTTTCTACTTTCTAATCTTTGTAATAGGAGAGAGCCTTTATTAATAGTTTTTTTTTTCATACTAATGCTGTGGCACAATATGCATGAGACCACCTCATAATTTCTGTAAATAATCCGAATAGCATATTTAAAAAACGAGTTCCCTCTGTACTCGTTGGCAATAATAACAAAATTATTGTAAATGAGCACGAAATAAGAAAAGAATGGCAGATGTATATATCAGAGTTGTTTGAAGATGACAGGAATAATATTGCCGAATTCTACCAAAACTGTACTGATGGCTCAGAAAATATAAAATGCGAGGTAGAACACGCTATAGTATAAATAATGCTAAAATTAGAAAAGCTTGTGGTCCAGGTGATACACCAACTGAGTTGCTGAAACTAATAGAGAATGATAACATAAAAGCAGTAGTTTTAACACCGGAGTGATTCACACAGATCGGCTCAAATCCATATTTGTCGCAATACCTAAAAAACACAATGCGAAAAAATGCTCAGAATATCGATTAGTTAGCCTAATGAGCCACGCTTAAAATTTTCCTAAGAATACTTCACAACAGTAATAACAAAAAGTGTACAAATATTGGCATTTGCAGATGATGTTGATATCATAGCTAGAAGCAAAAGATAGATGATAGAAGCATTTAATGCGATAGAAAGATCGGCACAAAACAGTGGCCTAAACATTAACGAAATAAAAACCAAATATATGAAGGCCAGTAAATCGACAGGCCACAGAAACCTACAGAATCTGATAATAGGAGACTATAACATCGGAAGTGTGAAAAATTTTACATATCTAGGTTCACTAGTTACCGCAGATAACAATGTCAGTGAAGAAGTTAAGAGAAGAATACATATCACTAATGAAACATATAATGGACTAATTAAACATTTAAGATCTACCAACATCACAAGAAAAATCAAATGCAAAATATACAAGACCCTAATAAAACCTGTCCTTGTATATGGATCAGAGACATCGACACTGTTGAAAAGTGATGAGAACCTATTAGGTACATTTAAACGAAAAATCCTTAAACACATATATAAGGGGATAAAGGAAAATGACATATGGCGCAGAAGATATAACTTTGAACTATAGACAGCATACAATGAACCCGGGATCATAAAATCCATAAAGATCGGACGTCTGCGCTGGATTGGCCATGTTTAACGGATGTTGGAGACTGAAACACCAAAACATATAATGAGGCAAACACCAGTAGGGAGAAGTCAAAGGGAAGACCCAAACTTAGATACATGGAACAAGTGGAACAAGATCTGAAAACACTTAAGATTACCAACTGGAAAAACAAAACAAGGAACAAAACAGAATGGCGGAAAATCCTAGAACAAGCCAGGACCCAGAAAGGGTTGTAGAGCTACTGATGATGATGATGATGATGATACTTCACAACAGAATTAGACGCAAATGCGAAGAATATCTTGAAGATACCCAATTTGGTTTTAGAAATGCTATGAGAACCAGCGAGGCACTTTTTGCGCTTAACATCCTATTACAAAAATGCCGTGACCAAAGAAAAGATGTATTTCCATGTTTCGTGGACTTCGATAAAAGGCATTCGATAAAGTACAGCATGTAAAATTAATGCAAATACTGAAAAATATCGGAATAGATGACAAGGATATTCGTGTCATTAAAAATTTGTACTGGAATCAAACTGCTATCGTAATAATTGGAGATAACTACACCGATGAAATCTCTATACAACGAGGAGTCAGACAAGGTTGCATTTTGTCACCAACATTGTTCAGTGTTTACTTGGACCAGTTATTTAAAAAGGCACTTGAGAAACAACCATTTGGAATAAAAATCAACGGGGAACTACTTAATGTGATTAGATATCCACAGTAATTCTATCAGATAATGTTGAAGGTCTTCAAATTCTGCTTGATTGTATTCACTAGGTAGGAGAGGAAATGGGCATTAAAATAAACTCAAACAAAACCAAATTTTTAGTGTTTAGTCGTGGCCCACATCCCGATGCAAAGCTTTAATTAAACGGAGAGAATTTGATAAAGTTTACAAAATGACATATTTGGGAACTGTGATAACGGACCAACTAAATCCAGACATAGAAATAAAACGTAGAATAGCAATGACTAAAACTTCTTTTATGAAAATAAAGTCATTTCTTTCCAATAACCATCTAAGTTTAGAACTAAGATAACGAATATTTAAGTGATATGTTTGGTCCGTACTTTTGTATAGTGCAGAAGTATGGACGCTAAAAGTATCGATCATGAACAAAATTGAAGCATTGGAAATGTGGGTTCATAGACGAATGGTGAAGATACCTTGGACAGCAAGGAAAACTAATGAAGAAGTACTAAGGAGCGTCAACAAAGATAGAGAACTGCTAAAAAATTGAAAAATGTCTTATCTGGGATATATAGTAAGGGTAAGTCGATATAAAATATTACAACTGATCCTTAAAGGCAAAATAGAGGGCCGTAGAGATGTAGGAACAAAACAAGTTTCTTGGTTAAAAAACATTCGTGAATAGACTTAGATACCAAATGGAGGACAATTATTTCATATTGCAGAAGATCGAGAAGCCTTTGCAATGGTGATGGCCAATGTCGGATAATTCTGATATGGCACGCGAAGAAGAATCCAAATAACTGTAATAAATCGCTAATATTCATGCACGTTTAAATAAATAAACACTCTTCTTCTTCTTAACGTGTCTTAACAAGTCCCTTTGACTTTAAAGATTAACACAGCAAGGCTATATTTGCCTTGAGCTATTCTGATATTCTGCAACTACTAGGCTTATTTTCTACCAATTTAACTTTGATGGTATACAAGGCAAATATCGAACACAGTAATTAATTAAATCTTGCCCAAGTACTTTCGATCAATAGATCATCCTCAGGGGCATTTCGTCAGTTGTGGCCTATCCGACATGAGCAGAATGTCATACATGTAAATTTGGACATAACAATACAATACACAAAGACACATTTTGTCTTCTGAAACGTTCGGTCCCCTACCAATCGAACCTTCTGGAAACTGGCCGCTATAAAAACCAGTTCGAGACAATTATTCAGGTCAACCTCAACGGGCTTCGAGAAATTCTAGTCTAACAGCTGTTTTCGTATAAATATAACGGAACTTTCATTGTGGAATCAGTGAGAAGATAATAGCGCTCCGAGTTTAAATGTAACGCTCGTTTTATAAATAAATTATGTAATTATTAGGCTAAAATAAATTGTCGTATAGTGGTTTAATAAACTGATATAAATTATTGCGTTTTAGTGAATTAAAATAAGGGAAATAAAAAACAATAAATTAGAATTATGAAAAATACAACAATATTAAACTTAATTTTTGTCCAGCTTTCTTCGACTCCATCACTTTATGTGATATATATGTTTCTGATTTTTTTGGTTATTCTTTTATGGAATAGGTATCTTGTGGAGTCATCCTGTAAACTTTCGACTTTTATCTTTATAGTGTATTCCGGTGTTTTGTTATCACATTATATGTGTTTACAATCGGATGTTGCACAATACCAATTTGTTATCGCTTCCAATTTCTGTTGATGTTAGTGCTCTTACATCCAAGATTTGAGAGGGCTGTAACTCTCTATTCGACAGAATATAGTTTATCATAGATCTTTTTGCACTACTGTTTTGAAAATTTTATTTGTATTGTTCTTTGTTAGACGATTCAACGACACTTCGAGAGTGTTTCTTTTACTTTGTTTTAAATAGACAACTGGTTGACGAGAGATTTTATGGTGGCTAACTAACTACATCAACTAGTGGTTGATAGGTCTTTTTATACTGTAGTCGTTCGTAGTTCCATAGGTCTGATGACAGAGTAACTCCGAAACTGGTCACAGATACATACTATCAATTAAACTTAAAGGGTTGTAAATAGAAACTTTTCACATCACATAGTTTTTAAACTTTATTTTGCAATTGAATTAAAGTATTTTATTGTAGGTGTTGGTAAAACAGCCACTGTGACTAGATATGTGGAGAGATCCTTCCCGCAACAAACGACTCCCACCGTGGGTGCTTCATTTTTTACATGTAAAGTGGTTGCCGAAGATCATTTAGTTACCCTTCAGGTGAGTTTAAATATTATTCAGAGAAATAATGTGAGATATAGTGATCTAGTAATATTATAATAACAAACCTGTTAGTATTTACGATTTTTTCTGTGTTGTAGATATGGGACACTGCCGGCCAAGAAAGATTCAAGGCTATGGCTCCCATGTTTTACCGAAATGCAAATGCTGCATTATTAGTATTCGACATATCCTCCCGTGATTCATTCGAAAGCATAAAAATGTGGGTGCAGGAATTGAAAGGAAATGTCTATGAACCAATGGTGCTGTGTGTTATAGGAAACAAGATCGACTTAAGCGAAATTAGGCGGGTAAATATATTTTACTGGTTTCATTATTTTTGTAATTTTATTATTGGGGACGTGCAAGTACTTGGAGGGGATACGAGAAACTATCGTGCGCGAGTAGTGGAGAAATCTTGCATTTTTTACTGTACATTTCATAGATTATAGATTTCATAAATTCATATTGTCAATTGTCATATTTCATATTCGTTTTGTCTATTTACACATTCTGTCACTGAAGAAAATGGGATTTAAGAAATGCTGTGTTATAAATTGTAAAAATACAACAAAAAATTGTCAATTTAAGTCTTATTCGTTTCCAACTTCGAAGCACAAAGCTAGTACAAAGAGAAAAGTGGATTTATATCATAAAAAAGCATAAGTAACATAACCTAAATTATGCATTATTCTTGCACCCGATTTTAAAGTCAGTTTGAAATAAATATAATCCGACAAGTGAGAGCTGGCGGGTGAAATATAAATAATAGTTTATAATATAGGGCCACTCCAAATAAAAACGTAAATACTTGACAACACTGTCAGAAATCTAGCACTAATTACAATATGTGAACTCTTAGCCGACTGCAATAGAAAGGAGCAATCCCTTCCTTTTTTCAATTTGTTCTACGCGCAACCCGCCAGCTCTCGCTTGTCGGGTTATAATAAATAAAAGTTTCATAACACTCACTTAGAGTTCCTTTTAACCCAAAAATCAAGTTTAATGTTTGAATTTTATTTTTTTGAAGTTTACAAAAATGCATCAAGTTCAAGTTTTTCTAAAGATGCATTAAAGATATATTCGCTGTCCAAAAGTTTACAGGGAAAGAATTAATTGTTCAAACCAATATGATGATATCATGGGCTTAACCTGCTAATTTATGCATTAGAATTATTTATGGTAATTTATTTTTCTTAATTCTTCCACTCCACATAATTCTTCCATTCTTTTTTGACACTTGGCACTACTAAAGCTTTTCCCTTTGACTCGCGCTTGGTTGAAAAGTTATTTGGTGATTTACTTTATTAAATCCAGTTTTTATTATTGCATCCATATTAACAGTAATGCTGTAATTCAATAATATATTTATTTGTATTTACGCTACATCAACGTTTACCTTTTAATAACATACCGACATAACCTCAATCTTACTTTTTCTTCTTATTCTTTTTTGGGGCCACGTCCTTGACAGTTATCCGGTAACCTCGATCTAACATGAAAGCGGAGTAAATTTGGCTGATTTACGACACCAGGCGTCGCTTTTCCGAACTTGCACGGTCCCAATAAGCTGTAACACCATATTCACAAAATCAGTAGTGCTTTAATATACGCCATGTAAATATGGTGAAATTATATATATATATATATATATATATATATATATATATATATATATATATATATATATATATGCAATTTGCAAAACTCATAACATTATAAAAGAGATAAAAAGATTAAAAATTGATATATTGGAAATTAGTGAAACACACTGGCAAAACTCTGGACAATGCGATATACTTGGATATAAAGTTTACTATGCTGGAAACAACACAAAACATCACAGAAACGGCACTGCAATAGTAGTTGCCGCACATATTAATTCGGCAGTAAAATCTTTCACTCCCCATTCAGATAGAATGATGCTTTTACAAATTCAAGCAACACCGGTGGATATTAACATATTACAGGTATACGCGCCAACGGCAGATAAAGATGAGACAACCAGCGAAGAATTCTATGAACAACTGGGAAGCCTGATGAAAATGACAAAAAAACATGAAGTAACGATAGTGATGGGAGATTTCAATGCAAAGGTTGGTAGAGGCAAGGTGAATGAGATCGTGGGAAACTTCGGCCTAGGGGAGAGAAACGATAGAGGTGGTCATTAGACGTGTACTTACCAATTTTTGTCCGCTGGGACTGTCTGCAAAGTTAGAAAATAATAGATTTTCAAGGTTAATATTCTCAACTTTGCTGATAGATAATTGGCGACTGCAGAGATAATCGCGCGTGTCTTACTCATGTATTGCGATGTTGCCTATGTGCTCTAGAGGTAGTACAAATATATAAACAAAATTGAGCGTAGGTTTACAGAAAATATACTTTTACACGTTTGGTGCAAAGTTACCCTGCTCAGTGCAAAGTAACCCCGTTTGACGGTATATTAACATTGAGCATAGTCTGTTATAATCACAAGACTGTCTTATATATTGTAAATTTTAGTTAACCATATATCAATATCTACATATTTTATATGTGTAACCATAATAAAATTTTTAAGTCAAGATTTCAAATATCTGAGAATAACAACTGAACTTTTTATTTGATTATATTGCTGATAATACCGGCTACTATATTTCTTTCATTTTATCTTAATTTTTTGAAAACTAATTGGTTAATTCAAGTGGTTATTCTACATTCCATAATTGTCAGAAGTCCAAAGAATACAGGTATCTAAATTCCTGGAATGACTTAATCTAATCCAAACTCGAGTAGTTATATTGCAATATCATTCTGAATAATTTTATACTCACCGTATATAAATGTCAGGTTCGAGCTTCTCATTCTTCATTCGGGAAAATCGTTCTTTTCATGATTGTATTTGATAATAAAAACTCCCTACTAGGACCGAGTAATCTTCTTCCTCATCAGGTACATAATCTGGGTCTATTAAATCATCATTTTGGCAAAATTCGAAGGCACTCATATCATTTTCAGATTTTGTATTTTTCACAGCAAGTATTTGAGATGTGGCATTATCCAAAATCGCTAAAATTATACAAAAAGTTTTTCAATTTTTTAATATGCTGGCTCTACGTTGACTCTGGTGTCCAAAATTATTTTCCTGAGTTTTCCACGGAGGCACAGAACATAATTATTCATGTTCTGAAAAAAATACTCAGCTGCTTATTCTTTTTTCATCTCAAAATATACGAAAAACTATAAAATAACCTTACAAAACTAACAGCAACTAATAACTTTGCCGCCAATTAAGTGAAAAGCAACATAATAATTAATAGGAAATCTAAAAAAAGTAAACAAAAACTGCGCTTTTTAAATTATTGGTATTCTGGAGTTCAGAAATAAATTGTTTTGTTAATCCGCTTAAAAATGCCGTGAATAACAAAAATACCAGATAAAAGTATTGGTCACCAGATTTTTAAATGAGAATCTACAAAACGACCATAAGACCAATAATAGTATATGCTGCAGAAACATTTAAATTAACAGCAAGAGAAGAAGAGCAATCAAAAGTTTTTGAGAGGAACATTATCAGAAAAATACTAAGACCAAAGAGAGAAAACGACGAGGAAGCAAGACAATGGATGAATAACGAAATAAAAAAATGGATGGGTCAAGAGAACGTAGTTAGAGCAATAAAAGCACAAAGAATTAGATGGTATGGACACACATGAGAAGGGAGAAGACCAATCTGTTAAGAGCTATATCGGAATTAATATCACCAGGTGAAAGAACTAAAGGCAGACCTAAACTAAATTGGAGACAACAAGTGGAAGAATAATTAAGGAGTATGGGAATAAGGAAACTGTAAAACCAAGAATCTCCCCACACCAATAGGATCTTTTAGTGGAAAACAGCTTCAGCTTCTTCGGGCATATATATATTGGGGATGTGTAGTCCACCATCGAAATAGTTCTAACGAACGATTCTTTCAACTGAACTAATTGAACTATAAGTATATTATAGTTCATTAATTTTCATAGAACTAGTTCACTGCGAACGATTTGCATTATAAATTATGTCTCGACTTCTAAGAAGAAAATAATGAATGAATGAATTAGAACATACATTTATTATTTTGTGAATGGATGGACTAACTAGTTTAAAAAAATGCCGATTAGCCTCAGATAACAGATTCATAATTCTTATGAATGTGACAATACCATAAGGTCTTATCTTAATGTCATAATGGTTTGGATCTTATGCCCATGTATTGGCTTGGATGTTGCCATGCTGTGTTGTTTTTTGTATTGTAATTTTGAAATAAAAATTTTAGTTGTGGTTAAAATGATTGAGGCATTTACATAAAATATAATTTTATGTAAAAGTGAAAATGAATATGTATTATTTAATGTTCCTAGAAAATTCACTGATTTTTTTTGTAAAGGTTCTTTTAGAAATAACCTAATTATAAATACCTATGAGTTTAAATATACGTAAATATAAAAATAAAACATACTTGAACCATATTTATATTTAAAACGGTTAATAAAAACCAAATCTTAATAATTTTTTGCAAATAAAAACTAACTAATCATATATTAATTTAAACCATTTAAACCTAAACATACGATCGAAAGAAATAGTTCCGAACTACTTGTACGGTAGTGAACTAGTGAAAGACTGACTGAAAGAAAGAAATAGTTCCGAACTACTTGTACGGTAGTGAACTACTGAAAGACTGACTGAAAACCGAAGTAAACGGGCGGCCAGCGCCGAGCTTGTGTGATGATTGAGACGAGACATCTGGCAACCAGTTCTGTTAGGGTTGGATTTCGATGTCGGACCTACAAATAGTTCTTTCGCGAACTAGTTCACTGAACTAGCTCATTTTTGTGAAATAGTTCTGTTAAACTAGTTCGTCTAAAAGAACTAATAAACACACCTCTAATATATATATATATATATATATATATATATATATATATATATATATATATATATATTTATATATAAATTATATCTTCTTCTTCTTCTTCTTTGGGTGCCGTGTCCATATTCAGACGTTGGCCGTCATCATGCTTACAATTTCCTGAAACCTTTCTCTGTCGGCTGCTGCGCGAAATAAATTACATAATGAAGTTTATTTGTTAACACAGCTGGGAAGAATAGTAAGGGTTAAAGCCAGAAGAATCTAAAAAGGACATAGTTCTAGAAAGAATAAAGATAATTCAAAAGTTAAAATTAAATAACGTTTTTTATTTGTTTTAGGTGACCCGAGAGGAAGCGTTATCATATTCAAAAAGCATAGATGCTATATATTTGGAATGCTCCGCGAAAACAGATCAAGTAAGTATTATTTATATTTATGCAGATGCTTTATTTATTTTTGGATGAATACAGATACAAAATGACATTCAGTCTACATTCTGTCTCCGGCTTCTGTACACAATGTAGCTTCGCCTATTTTTTTTAATTTTTAAAGTGTTTGTTTGTCCTTGTGTAGTGTAGTGTGATATACTATTTTATATTTATGACATTTTATTCTTGTCCGATAGGTCACAATTGACGAAATGCCCCTGAAGATGCTCTAGGGAGCGAAAGTACTTGGGCAAGAATAAATTAATTAAACTGCTTGATATTTGATCAAATTTCATTTATTCGAGCATTCAACCTTATATCCATTCTGTAATAAACTACAGCCATTGGACTATAAATTTTTAGATCATCAGCATAGAGAAGAATATTACTATAATAAAAACACTTTTTTATATCATTTACAAAACAATTAAAAAGCAGAGGAGATAAATCTCCACCCTGTGGAATACCAGAGGTTACATAGACAGTAGATGACAAAAATTGGTTAATTTTTACAACTTGAGTTCTATCTGTGAGATAACTCTCCATCCAGCCTAATAATCTTACATGTAAACCAGCATTATAAAGTTTGAGATATGGTCATACTCTTCAAGAGTATCCAACAAAAATTCTTGTAAAACTAAAAGATTTGTAGTAGTATAAAAAATCAAAACTTTCTGAAATACATTCAACTTTGTTAGTAATATTTCCAATCGGTCTTGAACCATATTCATCATTTTCCCAATGAATATTTGGTAGGTTAAAATCACCAAATAGATATACCAAAACTGTAGTGTGTTTTATATAAAATACCTTCTACGCAATTTACATAGTCCTCATACGAACATACGAGTTTGGAGGTAAATAAACACATCCCATTAGAAACCATGATATTTCTTTGATATAAGGATACCAGATATGATATTGCCACGCACTAAACTCGTACACTCACGCGCATGACGTCACCTTGTGCTAAATTTTCAAAATGTATTCATGCTTGCGGATGAAACGAACTGTTGAAATTCTAATATAATTTACTAGATGTTTTATTTACTACGTGAATTTAAGCTTAAGTATTTAAATTAGTATATTGTAAAAAATAACAATTTTCCCATAAGAGTGAAGTTTGATGGAGGGAGCCATGGCCGAATGCCACAAATTGCAAACTATGGAATGTGATTTTCATACAATATATATTTTATATATAGTAGTTAGGTATTATTGACTGACACGTTAGGTAAACTATTTTTTTTGAGGTTGCAGTCATTAATAGGGCAGAATAAGTAAAACTCTTTGTTCTTTTATTTAGCTTTCACAAAAATTTATTAGCTTCTTCAGGATATGCTAAAATATGGTTATAATTATTTAATCTCCTACCTACATATATATATATATATATATATATATATATATATATATATATATAAATATTTTTCTTTTGAGGTTGCAGTCATTAATAGGGCAGGATAAGTAAAACTATTTGTTCTTTTATTTAGCTTTCACAAAATTTATTCGCTTCTTCAGGATATGCTAAAATATGGTTATAATTATTTAATCTCCCAATTATATATATATATATATATATATATATATATATATATATAATAAAGTATTCAACTAGTGAATTCAGAGGTTAATCGGTCGTTCAGGTTGGCAAAATAAAAAACAGAAGTCAACTACTTCATAAGTTTATAGAAGACATTTCGCTTTATACTTCTAAAGCTTCATCAGTTCTAACTCAATATGTAGTATTAAAGATGTTATTATATATTTACTTAAGTTTACTCATTATTTAGAACTAACGTAAAAAAAACAGAAACAAAGGACACAAAAACTTTGCAAAAAATAATATCATTCGCAGAAACAAAGATTTAACAAAATTTTAAACGTAAATTTTGCTCCATTTAGAGATGGTTCTCCAATGAAGACAAACAAAACACTCACCAGTGTTTTGTTTGTCTTCATTGGAGAACCAAAATCTTCGTTTCTGCAAATGATATTATTTTTTGCAAAGTTTTTGTGTCCTTTGTTTCTGTTTTTTTTTTAAGTTAGTTCTAAATAATGAGTAAACTTTAAGTACATATATAATAAAATTTTTAATACTACATATTGAGTTAGAACTGATGAAGCTTTAGAAGTATAAAGTGAAACGTCTTCTATAAACTTATAAAGTAGTTGACTTCTGTTTTATATTTTGCCAACCTGAATGACCGATTAATCACTTCAATCACTTTCAACAAAGTGCTTAGAGCAAACACGAGCAAATTTAACATTAAAATTATCCTGGCGTTTACACAAATGTTTCCAAACAGCTTGCATTTCCTTGTCTTTTGGAAAGCTATAAAATGCTGTACCGGGTACAAAACTCTTGCACATATTGTCAACGGCACAACCATACACTGCACACCTCATATCGGGAAAAATTTAAAGCCTTGTAACACTTTTAAAATATTATTTTATTAAATATTGGCTATGAACCGTAAATGTACATAAACGTCAAAACACAATATGGCGAAATTTAGCACAAGTTGACGTCACAAAAGTCATGCATAAGCCACGCCCACATGCGCGGTATCTTATCTGTTTGTATTTGTATCATGATTAGAAACTAAACATGGATTATTACTATTATAAACAGTTATTTTATTACGGTTAATATGAACATTATTAATTAATCAATCTTTATATTTTTAAGGGTGTGGGTATGATATTTGAACGAATCGCACAGGGACTTCTGAGACTGCAAGGCGTCGCCTCCACTCTGAAAGTGTATGAAGATGACATGATGGCGAGATCCAGTGAGTTAGAAGCAACTGACACTGCCAACGAAGAGACAGTGAATTTAAGCATCGGAAGCATCGCACATGGTGATACCGTCCATCACAGTGGTTGCTGTTAAATTGTCAATTGAGGTTACGTTACTAAGCCAAAATATCGTTAGTATTAAGGTAGAAATAAGAATTCGTAAAAAACAGGGTTCGTTAATGTAGATAGCGAAATACAGTGAGTTAAAAGCAACTGATAGTGGCAACGAAACCACCGACCACTTAAGCATTCGAAGCATCTCAAACGGTGATAACGTTAATCACTACATTTGCAGTTAAATTGTCAATTGAGGTTATGTTAGTTTTAAGATAAACTAAAGATCATATTTTGTTAATATCATAAGTGATATTCGACCTTTTTTTTATCGGTTTAAATTGGCTCCTAAAACAAAAGCACAACAGAAACAACGATTGTGTATATTATATAGTGATACTGTTGCTGTTACTACTTTTAGGACAGACGTCACAATATGACCTGCAAGTTCTGATAGGTTCTATTAGGGCATCTTATACAGACCTGTTCGTCCCAGGCAGTTTAGTACTCCTAAAGACTTTTTGTTAAGTAAATCTTAACTTTCGTTTGATATCTCGTTAATAATCTCGTTTGATATCGCATGTGCTCACAGAAAACGTGCTCTGAACTTCCTTAGGGTGCAGTTTGAGAGTATATATATATATATATATTATATATATATATATATATTATATATATATATATATATATATATATATAGAGATTTTATCCTTTACCTCACAGGATCTGCATTCTGCAACTTCTAGTACCTTATTAGTCGACAATGATATGTAAATATTCCTGTTAAACTACTTTGTCTAGGATGTACAATCTTTAGATCTTCTATGCTTAAAGTTACCTACAAGTATTTTGTCCCATTCAATGTCTTCAAGTCTTCCCAATGTTTTTATCTTTTGCGATCTACTTTTGTTTGTGTTTATTCCAGGATGAAGCTGCTACTATTTCCACAAAGGCTTTTATTGTATAAAGGCTTCATCATAAAGTAACCTATATTTGGCCACTGCTGAACATAGAGCCCCCTAAAATTTTCCAACTATTTCTATCTTGAGCTTCTTGTATCCAATTTATGGTGATTCGCTTTATATCATCCACTCATCTACGTGCTAGATAGACGCATAAAGGCCTATTCATCATTACCCAGCCCTTTGCGTCCACTGCTGAACATAGGCCTCCCTAATTTTTGTCCATTGTGCTCTATCTTGAGCACTTTTCATCCAATTTCTTGACATTTTCTTGAGATCGTCAGTCCAACGCGTAGGGGGTCTTCCTCTTCCACTTTTGTTAATCTCGAGCAATCTCTTCGTCCACCTTTCATCACTGATTCGGACGACGTGTCCAGCCCAGTTCCATTTCAGTGTGGCAATTCGGGAAATTACATCGGTAAGTCCTGTTCTTCCTCTTAAGTCTTCATTAGGTACTAGGTTTGTTATGAATTTTGTTTTCGAGATGTTAATTTTAAGACCCACACTGGCACACACTAACTGTAGTTCATGTAGCATTGTACCGTTCCCGTCATAAAAAACTGGTACAACTCTTATAATCCAAAATCGTGTTTTTTAAGTTGTGTACGTTGATCTTGTCACATGTGTCATTCTGATTTCTAGGGCACCGTTGCCAGTTCAACGAAAATATCATATAAAACCAGCTAAAAGCAAGGCTACGTGACAGACCGCTAGTTTTGAGTATACTAAAAACTAAAACATTTATCCCTACATTGATTTAGGGATCTCCTTTTTTTGTACAATAGAATTACCTCAGCATTGTGCCATTTTTCGGATATATTACTATCCAAAAGGCTTTTTATTTTCTTAAGTAGGCAAGTGCCTCCTGTTAGGAGGCATAAATCCTTACTTTGAACCAATTTGGAACTAATTAATCGGCAATTTTTCCACTTCAGTTCTTAGCTCCTGGACAATAAAGTGAGGTTGTGCACCTTTGGGATGTCTTTTCTTGCGTAAGTCGTCAATTCTGCCGCTTTCCAGTTATTTAGCTTGTGAACCGTTAAAGAGGGGGTAGTTAATCATTTCCACTTCATGCCTCCTTTGTTCTACATCCTTCTTTGGTTGAGTGGGGTTTGTTTTCTCCCTGCTGTATTATTTGGTTGTGATATTTCGCCCATGGCCCTTATTTTTGCTTTCCATTGCTCCGCCTGGCTTCTTCTGCTACTATTCCTTGGTTTAGGTACCGTTTACAGCCTACGCCATGAACTTTACACCTTAACGGCTTGTATCTGGTGGTCAATTAGTCCTCTGTTGAACCATCTCGTCATCAATTATGTCTCATTCTAATTCTTTATGCAAAAAAACTCTACCATCATCTACCAGGATCACTTCTGGTCGGAAGTGGTTTCTTGTGAACTGAATTTTATATTATCATCGAAAGAATATATCTGTCACTTTTCATCCTCTATCAAGGTCTGTTCGTGTGTACTGAGGATAGTTTTAGAGAACGCCTTGGAAAGTATAGCTACGTTCTTATAGATGCTGGAATTAAAGATGGGAGAGTTCATTCCTCTTTTTTTTCTACGTCCTTTGGTTGAGTGGAGTTTGTTTTCTCCCTTCTCTATTGCTTCGTTGCGATATTTGTCCCATGATCCTTATTTTTTGCATTCCATTGCTCTACCTGGCTTCTTCTGTTACTATTCCTTGGTTTAGGTACCGTTTATAGCCTACTCCACGAACTTTACACCTTAACGGCTCATCATGGTCTCTTGGTTTTCTATTCTGGAAGAGGTATTTTCTGTTTTTTTTTTTCAAGGAAGGGTTTCTTGTGGCTGTTGGGACGATAATGCCGTTTTTACTTTCTCACATTTCTTATACGTATCCTTTACTTTAGGCAAACCTTGAGAGGATGGAGAGGATATCCAGTATTAGTTTTTTTGTTTAATTTTTTTCTGTATTTATGAATGTTCCCACGAGATGTTTAGGGAAGGAAAGTTATTAAGTGCATAGCCCATTATGTGGTGGTGAGGCTAAGTACGAAGGGGTTTTGTCAATTATCTGTAGAGAATCATTCGAGACTACGTATCTGGTGTTCAATTAGTCCTCAGCTCGGTTTCTTACATCTTTCCGGATTTTTATCGCTGATTTGCTCCATTGGTTTTTTTGTCGTACTTCATGTCATCTCGTGGGGATCGGTTTGGGTAATCGAGGTTAGGAAGGAAATTGGAAGATGCAGTAGGAAGTAGCAGCTAAGGCAAGCCACTTCATTCAACAGTAGATCCTCGGTAGTGAGATCCAGCGGCCATCTTCGCGCCCCAATCTCGGAGATCTCCCTGTTAAGTCATCCTTAGCTAGCTCGGTCGTGCCCACATTAGTAGCGACCAAAACTAATCGAAAGGAGCAGTTACTAGCTCATTTAGTTCACATCCTATGAACGTTATTCAGGGATCGGTTAGGGTCAGGGATCCTAACAGAGGTTAGGAAGGAAGGAAGGTGGAGAGAACAACTGAGGCCAGCCACTCCACTTAACAGTAGATGTTCGGCAGTACAATCTCAGGGACCTCTCCGTTGAGGCATCCTTAGCTCGCTTGATAGTGTCTAAATTAGCAGCGACCAAAACTGAGCGGGAGCAGCAACTGCTAGTTTACTGAGTTCAGGCCTCATGAACACTAGTCAGGAATCGGTTTTTGTCGTGCTTCATGTTGGCTCCTTGGAGATGGGTTTGCGTAACAACGATTAGGAAGGAAATTGAAAGGTGTAGTAGAACAGCTGAGGCCAGCTACTCCACTCAATAGTAAATGCTCGGCGGCGCAATCTCCAGGGAGAACTCCCTGTTGAGCCATCTCGTATATGTGGATATATATCCATAATCCAGTGGTATTTTTTGTTTCCAGGATGCAAAAAAATCTTATTCCTTATCTTTTTGTGTAGTTTATAACGTGCTTCGATATTTTATCACTAATAATACTTACATATACATAAATGGTGCTTTGTAAATGGTGCTTTGACTTACCGAAGAGCTCAGATATATTTTTTTTTTGTTTTTTTTTTATAATTTTATACTTATGATGATAATAATTATTATAATAATTTATTATTTACGAACCCTGTGACAACTAACTCCAGACGAAAAATAGATAAAATTAAATGGTGCACATTCATTCAAACAAAATAAGAAAAAAATAAAAAGCCGTTTGATATAAACCGGTGGTACTGCACTTAGAATATTTTAGGGGAGGGTAGTACACAATGAGACAAAAAACACATTTTTATTTCTGACATTGACATTACTGAATTTGTCTACAAACTAAGTTAACCAGGCATCAATATGATTATTTCATCAATATAATCTGAAATAAATATTCTCTCATGAATGAAGAAACAAAATCTATGATTATTTTTCTAACCGTCTTTATCTGTCTCATTGTGTACCATTGGTGGTATACAATGAGTCAAGTGGTGGTACACAATGAGTCAAGTGGTATTACTTCAATAATTTGTTAAAGTAAATACAATAGAAAAACTGAAATGAAAGAAAATTTTAAAGGACCTTAATACTGTCAAACTTTACATCAAATTTGAAATAAGATGCAAGGCGCTTGTTTTTTTGATCTACACTTTTTGGTGTTGGTAGAATTGATACAACATCTGACCTTGCTACTGCAGCAATGTCTCCAACTAAAGGAAAAATAAAGCAGCCTTGAAGATTACCACTTTTTCTTAAAAATATCAGTTTAAATTCATTATCGTCTAATGTCTTGAGAACTTTAGCAACATAAAATATAGTGTTTTCAAATTTCATTAATACAAAACTATCAATGGAAATTTCTGTACTAGCATCAAAGCCATAATCGTCTTCCAACTGTAAATTTCACATTCATCCCCAGAAGAATCATCGTAATTGATTAGTTCTTTACTTTCCTCGGAGGAAGTACTATCACTTGGTTTATTTTTTTCTGCTTTGGTGCTGAGCCACTTACCTTATTTAAATTGACCTTAATATTCTGAGGAGTCATAAATTATTTAGATGTGCACCACTTCATTTTTGCACAAATATTGACTGTACATCGGTTGTGACGTTTTAACAACAAATACAAACACAATTATCATATCGCACAAATTATGTGAACATTAACTTTTTTAAAAATGTTCGAAAATACAACAAATTTTCGAAAATTTTCCACGAATGAGGTGTGTATTATTTTTGACTTTATATTTTTGACTTATCTAGAATTTGTTGTTTTTTTTTAATGCAATTGACTAGCGTCATTAGTATATTATCCCCAATATTTTTCCCGACATTATAAACACGTGATATCATATCGGTTAATGTATGTCAAGTTATAAATACATTTTTTTTGGTAGTGCGTTTTACCGCAAATGTATCTTTATTAAGAGACT